TGGAGGTCCCAATTGTTTGAGCCCTAACATGGGACCAACTGGAGAAGGGGTACATTCCTTATAGTTGTTAGCAATAGAAAAGCTAGCTCCCACATCAATATCAACCAAATTGAAGATAAGTTGGAGACATTGTTTTGATATCATAAGACAAATAGCTTTGTAAAAATGTTAATGTTACGTGTTATTCTAATTATATAATATGATATATCTCATATAATTAACTCTTTTTTTTTTCAAGAGTTTGCTTATGATATTATATGCATTCTCTCATTTATTGTCATATTATATTCATTTAATATCATATTATAGTTGCAAACTTATAATCTTTTTTTTTTTTGGTACATGTAAACTTATAATCTTATACATGCAACACTGTAATTATAATATTATCTATAAATCTACAAAATACCTTTTTTCTAATTTAGTTGTTTCATTTTATTTATTTATTTAAAACAATTAAATATTATTATTTCAATTTTATCCATATTACTCTAGTCTATTTATAGAAATAATAGAACTTTTATAAGAAGTAAATATATCATTTTTTAATGAAAAATATAAATTTTTATTGAAAAGTAAAAAGATATTACATTATAATCTCTATATATCATGACATTATAATTTAAAACTGAAACATAACTTACAATATTAGTTATATATTTAAACTATACTTATGATGAATCTAAATAATTGAATGTAGAGAACCATTTGTAACTATGGATTAAAGCAACTGCTATAGGGACAAAAGTAGAGCTACTTAAGTAGGGGGATTATCTTATTTAGTGGTTAAAGTTTCTGGAAAATCCCATGGAAATTTCGATTTTTGGGGAAAGTAAATAACCAAACAAGTAACAGTTCCTATCGACCAACTGTTGATTCTTTTCTAAGTCAAACAAGCCTTAATCTCCCATCCACCTATAGCAACATATATATGACATTGCATCTTTGCCTTCGATCCACCATTTGTCTTCAAATCCAAACTCCTTTGCAAGTATCATTGACTATCGTCCCTTAGTTGTTTCATAGAACCTCATAAGGAGAGACTCAACATAGTTAAGAAAAAATCACCTTAAACAATAATATATTTGCCTAGAGTGAACCAGTGAAAAGGGAATAAAGGGGGCTGAGGAGAAAATATGGGAGAAAATATGATAAGGGGAAATAGAAATGGATGAGAAGGATTGGCAAAAAAAGGAATGTCGAAAGGAAGGGGAAAAAAGGCAAAGAGGAAGGATCGACTCAAGGGAGGTGAAAAGAATGATGGAAGAGGCAAGAGGGAGTCACCGGTCCCCCCTAGCTTTTCGTGATAGGAGCTATGGTTTTTCTTTTTTTTCTTTCTTTAAAGTAAATGTATCATTTTAACACTTGATTATAAAATTTTAATTAAATTTTAAATTAT